CAATACCAGCTATGAGCCACCAATTACTGAGGGGGTCCTCTGTGCCAGGTTCTGCGCTCAGCACTCTACACACTGAGTCTTATTAATATTTCCAGCCCCGGGGGTGTCTGGGTGGCTCAGTCGTTAAGCGACCGCCTTCGGCTCAGGTCCTGATCCCAGGGTCCTGGGATGGAGCCCCGCATCCGGCTCCCTGCTCTGTGGGAAGCCTGCTTCTCCCTCTCCCACTCCCCCTGCTTGTGTTCCCTCTCTTTCTGTGTCTCTCTCTGTCAAATAAATAAATAAAATCTTTAAAAATATATACATATTTCCAGCCCCGACCATGAGGATGATGTCCTCCCTGCCATTTACGGAGGCGCCGACAAATGTAAACTAGGATGTGTTCAAGCCACTCCAAAGCCCAATCACTTAAACCTCCAGCTCATTTTTTGGTAACTGGTTTCAAACTACTCTATTTTCCCTGTTCCCCTTCAGCCCACTGCACCCAGCTGCTATCAAGAACATTGGTGTGAGCAAATATCATAACTACCCAAAGTCTGGACTCTCAAACAGGAACAGGCAAGGTTTCTCCTGATTTCAGCGCAGGAGAGCTTCACTTGAACAACACTGTGCCTTGAGCAGTTACATGGGCAGTCTCATTTTCCACTGGCTTACTGTTTGATTCTGGTAATGAGTTCCCCGTCCTTCTTACAGAGCTAACTGTCCTTGCTGCCAGAACTTCAAATACACCAAGTCCAGGTGTTTTGCAGGGAGTTGCTTGATGGGACTAGGGTCGAACACCCTGGATGAGTTGAGTCTTTTGGTTGTTCTGAAGACTGACTCCCAGGAATGATGGGGCCATAATCAAAAGAACATGTGGAATCTGTGGGAGATCGTCAGCTTGGTCAGTTGGTGAAGGGCGTTTTCTTTCGTAGCACTGCTCCCTGTCCTGAGCTCGCCTCTGTTCTGGGAACTTATGGGTGTCCTGGGCTTTTGAAAAGAGAGGTTGTCTACAGTAGGTGGCTGGAAGGGGCTGAGCATAGGGGTCACCCCTTCTGGGTGATCAATGGGTAATATGTTGGCTCTGGCAAGACAGTGAGTTCCCCAATGCTAGAAGTATTCAAGAAGACAAATAAATACCAACAATCCATCATGCTCATAAAATATCATGCAGTGTAAACCAGGCACTCTCTCCCAGCACGGCAGTCACATCATAGACGAGATCTTAGCTTCATTTCACAGATAAGGCCCAAAGAGGGGACATGACTTGACCAAAAACTAGAATGAGGTAAAAGTGAGGTTCAAATCCAGGTCTGGAAGATTGCAAATCCTAAAATGGGGATCCCTTTACCCATGTGATAACAATGGGCATGGTATAGATTCTGAGCTAGAGTAAAACCTTTAAAAAATTTTTGGTGTCTTCTTACTCCATATGTAATTTAAAATCAAGACAATTCCCCCACTTTCACCCCATGGTGACTACATTAGTTTTTTGCCCTAAATATCAAATCATATTTAACACTCTCCATCTCCCTTCCACCTCCTGTTCATTCCCCTCCTGCTCATTTTGAGTACCTGCCTTGCTGAAGCCCTAATTCTGCTTAATCTTTGACCGGGTAAGCCAACATCGTGCATACAGGGCATGAGGTTTATCCTGTGTTGATTGCAGGGTACAAAGCTGGATAATTTCCCCACTAAATTCTCTTCCAACTCAAAGAGTCTGGGATCCTATAATTTCAAAAAAAGCAAGATACATCCTTCCATCCCATGGTGATTTCTAATATTCTGAGAATTTGTAAATGCTTGTTAAAATCTTTTCCTTATGGGGAATGGAGAAAGAAATATTAAGTAAGAGAAAAGACAAAATGTGAGCACAAATATCCACTAATACCTTGGAAAGAAAATTACAGTAAGACAACGTGCTTTATTTCATATGCAAATTTGCCAAGAAAAAACAAACACAATTTCAGCTAAGCTCAACAGACAAATGCAGCAAACAAATGGTATCATTGCAAAGCTCTATCTGGCTCGCCTATTTAGATTTGCTCCATAGAGCACCGTATTTCAGAGGCTGAACAAACACCAAAACCCATTCATTAATAATCCAGTGCATTCTGAACAGCACTTTATTGATATGAACAATGCAGAGGGAGAGTGTTTGGCGTACTGTGTTTTCATTTGTAAAATATATGGCTCCTGAAATTTTCATTTGGATTGCATAGTGTAGTCCCCAAATCGGTTATTCCTTTTCTTACAGTTTGGGCTCCTGATTTCATTTGATGGTGACAGCTCTGAAATTTGGGTTTATAACACTTGTTGATTCTTGGAAGTTGACAATTTGTTCTCAGTCCCCATGGGGATATTGTGGCCACCTTACTAACTAGTTAAAGGTCGCTGATAAGGAAAACTGTGTAGCATCATTAGAAGATAGGACTGCAGTCTGTCCTTTCTAATCGTAAACGTTTCCAGAAAGAAGGGGACTTTGGTTTTCATGTGGCTGTATCCGGTTTTTAATTCGCCTACCTCTGATGAGATAGAAAATGCACTGAATGAATGGCTGTCCTTCATATGTTGGGCTCTGTGTCTCAAGGATCAATCTTCCTTGACCATTAGCTCCGGGAGGGGCAGGCACGCTGTCCTGCTCACAGTTGAATCCTCATCACTTAGCACGGAGTCTGGTGCATAGTAGGTACTCAGGAAATGTTTGCTCAGCCAATGAAGGACTGAATGGATGGTTATGCGAAAGGTTCTATCAGTGCTTCCTGTACAGTTCCAGTTAAATGAAAGGTTAATGATCCACAGGATAAAAATGTGCCCATAATGCAAGCCCCTGGCAGAAAGGCAGCCCAGCAGCCCTCCTTAAGCCCTCGTTTCTGCTCACTTGTGGCATCTGATTTCTGGTCTTAGCCTTTGTTCTTTCACTTGGACTCATTCTAAAGAATTGGTCCCCCAAGCACCGAAGGCTAGTTTGGGACCTACCAGTTTTGGAGACATAATCTTAAATTAAAAAGAAGCCAACTTTTGGTTTCCAAAGCACCTGAATTTCCATATATGAAGCAATTCGCGCAATTTGGCAGCCCTCTGTTTTCACAGTCTTTTTTTTTTTTTTTTTTAAAGATTTTATTTATTTATTTGACAGAGAGAGACACAGCAAGAGCAGGAACACAAGCAGGGGGAGTGGGAGAGGGAGAAGCAGGCTCCCCGCAGAGCAGGGAGCCCGATGCGGGACTCGATCCCAGGACCCTGGGATCATGATCTGAGCTGAAGGCAGTCGCCCAACAAACTGAGCCACCCAGGCGCCCCTGTTTTCACAGTCTTAAGACTTTCCAGGTTCTTTTTTTTTTTTTTTTTAAGATTTTATTTATTTATTTGAGAGAGAGAATGAGAGACAGAGAGCATGAGAAGGAGGAAGGTCAGAGGGAGAAGCAGGCTCCCCGCCGAGCAGGGAGCCCGATGCGGGACTCGATCCTGGGACTCCAGGATCATGACCTGAGCCGAAGGCAGTCGCTCAACCAACTGAGCCACCCAGGCGCCCGACTTTCCAGGTTCTTGACCTAGGAAATGGACTTCTCCAGGAGGATGCAAACAACTTTTGGCTTTGCCATCACGAATCCTAGCAGAGTAGGGTGAAACAGGAATAATGTAATCCAACATCTGGCTTACTTGTAGACTCTATGTCCGAAATCCACCTGTTTCCGAACGTCCTATAGGCAAGACATCTGGGCGGCAGCCTGATTTTTCCTTGGGTTGTGCTGGCATCACCAGAGGTGCAGCCTCAAGGGCTGTGGCTCACACGGGCCCTCTGGGTTTCCCAAAGGCTTTAGCTACCAGGACTGAGGACATAGGTGATGGAGTGGGCACCACGGACAAAAACAAGCTCTCTTATATGTTCAGTGAAGGCCCATCAGATCCAGAGCAAGCTCATAGAGCCCATTTCAGAGACAGGTAACCTAGAGTGCCTTTACCTTCAAGAGTTTGCCAGAGCTCTTTGGTTTGCAGGAGGGGTTGGCGAGGAAACTGTTATGCTAACGAAACTTTATTTCAGTTCCAAGGCGTCAGATGGCCTCTCCTTAAATATGAGTTTGTCCATGTGCAAACGTGAACACTGAAATGTTGTGAACGTGAAGTGCCCAACTGTGCAAACCAGTATTTGCCATAACCATACCTCCAAGAGATCACAGAGAGACTCAGAGCAATTATGTCTTCTGCTAACCATCTGTGTACATTTTACAGGTAATTGACCATTGACAACTCGCTCACTAATGCTACCATTACTTGGTTCCACACTCCTTCCTAGGTGCATTCTTTCTGGCTTCCAGGGGCCAGCAGAGCTCCTGAGTTGGATGCATGACAGTGACTCAGAGAAGTCTGGAGATGGTGCTTTGGAATAAGTTTGCTCTCCTTTTTATGAGGGCACCCCAGCAAGGAAAGGCTAGGGATTGCCATGTGTCTTTTCCAGCCCCCTGGGTCTGTGTCTGTCTGCCATTGCCGGGACTGAAGTAGGCACCACCACTTCCCTTGATCATTCCATTTGTCCTGAAGGTTAAGAGCAGCCAGGATCCAGGAGGAAAGAAAAAACAAAAGGGCACATTGGTCCTACTCCCTGCCGTGGTGAGCACCCCAGAAATTTGTGGAGGCTGCAAGTCTATTCCTCATCACCGCAGCGAGGCAGTGGCTTTGGGGAGTGTTTTTTTGTGCAGATGTGAGCCCTCTTTATGGTAGAGAGAGGAGTAAAAGTTGCTCCTTCAGTGTCTAAGTACTTCTGAACACTTGCAGAGAGCTTCAGCAGACCTGGCTCCCGGGAGAAGCAACACGCTGTTCCTGTCCAAGCTGCCCGAATCGCAAAAAAGCCCCCAAATCCCAGGGTTGTGGCTCTCCATTAGGACGTAGGGACTCCTCCGGAACATTCAGAATTGGTTTTTCATTTGTCTATTTTCGTTACAGGAGACAGGCTTTCTTACCTATACTCTAAGTCTCCTTGGCCTCAAGGCTACTTCTTACTCAATATTCTGTTCTCTGCTTTGCTTTGCTTTGCATACAGCCCATCAGGGCCTCTGAGTCTTGACCATCCAGTTTCAACATCTCTTGCTAATAGACTTTGTGTCTTGGTATTTCCTACAGAGAGAATCCAGTCAGCCTAGCCCCATGGGCTGAGTTACATTTTTTTGTGGCCGGTCAACCTATGAATTTGTGGCTCCTGGTCAGATGGGTCTCCTGTCCAATCGGCTTACCTCAGAGGGCAGAGCATGGATATAACATACGGATAGGGCTGAACATAAGGCAGACATCATGATCGCTGGGACTAGCCATGGCAGGGAAAGTAAGTGGTCTTGGAAGTTTGTGTCCATGACCAGTGTCATCCCGGACCCTCTGGGAGCCACTGACCTGGATGGGACTTCCTTATGCTCCGAGAAGGGCCTATAACTAGACATTGGCTTATTCTGCCCCGGACAACATCTGCTCCCAGAACGCAGTCATGAATAGGCTGGAACTGCTCTCCTGGGGCCTGTGGATGGCCAGGAAGAAGTTCTTCTTGGCTCATGAGCTCGTGCCTCAGGCTGGGATGGCTTCTGAGACCACAAGGGTTTCTGCAGGGCTTTGATAACTCGAAGCAGGTACTGCTGTGCAGTTGGGTTGTGAAGGGGATTCCATCTATCTCACCATATGGAGGAGGTAGAATGAGAAGCAGGTAGGTTTTGGGGTATGAACGCCTTTGCTTTTTATTTTACCATAAAAATTTCTAACAGCATATGAACGCTCTGTTCCCAGCAGAGGCCACGGACGTAGGAAGTTAATTAGAAAGCCAAGCATTAAGTGTCGACAGCTACAGTCAGAGCTCCTGTTCCGTACTTGTCTTTGCCTAACGCCTAACGTGTGTATGATGTGGTTGGTGGGGAGCAGGAGTCTGGGTTTTCCGCCCACGTGCCTCTGGGTTTCATGCACACGTGCTCGCGTGGCCTCCAAATCCTCCACAACAACAGCAACAACACAATATGGCTCCGATGAGGCTGGCTTTTGTGGGCAGTTCCGAACTTAGGACCCTCTTCCTTTTTTTATTTTATGGAGTATTTTTTTTTTTTTTAATTTTACAGAATATGTGACAAATTAGTTCGGTGGATGGAAGGAGCTAAAATATTTCACTAGAAGACCAAATTATGAAGCTGATACTTGAGTAAGAATACCTTCGAACCTACTTTTCAAAGCCTTTTCGGATACAATCTGCCGTGTGCTCCCCATGCCCACCACGGGAGGGAGGAAGCACAGATGTCACTGTCCTCGTTTTACAGGTGAGGAGTCAGAGAATGGTTTAAAGTGAGTTGCCTAAGGCCTTGACTACTTATGCTTTTTTCAAAATTTCCAGACCAGAGAATGATACTCTGATTCTGTTTGGTACAAACCTTCTCTCAGTTTGTATGTGGGCAGGGGGTAGATTTAGGCATAAGGAAGAGATGGGGGAAATAAGGTGAGGTCACAGTTAATTTATGCAAAATACACTGACGGCCTCCCTCCATAATTTACAAAAGTCTGGCTGAGGTCAGAGAATGAAAATAATCAATTTCTCAATTTCATTATATAATGGCTTTCACTAAAGTATGGGTTTGACCTATCGAGACAAATTCTGCCACATCACAAATTTCCCTGTCTTTGAAACCTGCATAATCAAGCAACTTAACACTGTCTAAAAGAATTTGTTTCTGGCACTATTAATTCTATTTCTGAAATATTCCTTTCCAGAAGCCCCCCTACCTTTTAGCACTTACCATAGGCTAGGATTCTATCCTGTAACCATTCACCTTAAGAAATCAAGAGACCTTTCAGGCGCCTGGGTGGCTCAGTTGGTTAAGAATCAAGAGACCTTTCAATTCTCGGGACACTAACTTACTATATTCGGAAGGGCAGAGCCACAATAATATCAATTTCACTTGAAACTAATTCTGTTTCAAAAGACTCTAGAGAGAGGCTCATCAGTTTCCTCATCCATGCAAGTGTGTGGCCGTGAGCTACATTCATAGCACCTGAGCTAAGAGCGTGCAATTCAATTTACAGGCATTTATTGTGTGCTGAGCAAGATGTGGTGCTACCTGGACCTTGGCCGGAAATTGCTCTTAGACCCAGTAGTACTGGTGCTGGGATGGCCTGTGGTTGGGGCAGCGCTGGCTGGTCCACCAGGGTTTCAAATGTGTGTGTTCCCACCTGGTGTACACGTCAAGGACGACCTCTCCTCTCTGTAGCCGTGTCCATACTGATTGCTCACTGGCTACGTGGTGCCCTAGGAGTGCCGGTCAATTCCAGTCCTGAGGAGGTTCCTTCCTTTTGAAGGTTCTGCCCACTTACACTCCTCCTCTGGGTACTAGCCTCCAACAAAGGCTCTTACCGAATGGGTCAGGCCAGGGGGCCGTGCTGGTCTTACATGACTCTGCCTCCTTGGTGACAGTTGACTGGATAGGCACATGATCCAAGGGTGGCTCATCCATAGGCAGATGAACTGGACCAATCAGACTCTCAAGATTTGGGCACAGAGATGGTAGTCAGAGAGGGGTGGGCACAGGAAAAAAAAAGGGGAGCAGAGGGGGTCCTGGGATGGATTTTCAGCTGTATATACAGTAATGAGAAAACAGAGAACGCTAGGAGGCCAAGGGAAGCAAGAGAACTGAGCAGACATACAGAAAGAAACAGTGGAAAGTCCATATGGAGAGAGGATGCAAGAGAAAGCAAGAGTGAGCTGGCTGTCTCCAGCCCTTTCCCATATGGGCGCTCTGTTTAGTTTCTGTGAAATGGCCCTGTATTCTCTCCATCACCCCCTACACTTTTGAGCAAGTCTGAATAGGCTTCTAGTCCTTGCAAAGGTCTTTGACTAAAATACCTTCAAGGCTGGACTACATGGGAGAATTTAATCTCTGACACTTGGACCAAAGTCAGTTACTGCTCCAAGTTAAATTACTATATTTCCCAAGAGTGTTTGGCTGTATTTTGTAAGCAAGGTCCAAACTATTTTCTGGTGTGTGGTAGAAGGAACAGATTAAGTTTAAAATATGTTTTCAAACTTTAGAAATAATATGTTATTGCATTCATTAAACATTGAGTGCCTGAGTAGAAAAAAGCAGCTTATTTATCTAAAATGTTTAAATTTTTTATCCATTTCTCTAATTTCTGCCCATTAGAGAAGTATTTCTTTTAGTTAGCTATTTAAATTCCTGTCTTCCTCCATCTGTATTCTGATTTTTTTTAAGTCACAAGTCTAACAATTTCCTATCCACTCTTCCATCAAGATTACTCAGAAACTACATGCCCTTCTGCTGAATTCTTAAATTAGCAAAGGCACATAACCTCCAGGACCAGAGAACTGATTCTTAACATAATCCACCCTGTCTCAGTCGGCCCAGGCTGCCACAACAAAGTACCACAGACTGGGTGGCTTTTAAACAACAGAAATTTATTTCCCACACTTTTGGAGGCTGGACGTCCAAGATCAGGGTGCAGACGGGATCAGGGTCTGGAAAGAACCCTCTTCAGAGCTGCAAGACTGTTGACTTCCTACTGTATCCTCATGTGGCAAAAAAAAAGAGGGCAGGAGGGCTCTCTGGGGTCCCTTTTACAAGGGCACTAATCGCATTCGTGAGGACTCCACCCTCATGACTCAACTACCCCCACCCCCCGCCCCCCGCAAGGCCCCATCTCCTAATACCATCATGTTGGGGTTAGGATTTCAACATTTGAATGGGGGTGGGACACAACATTAAGTCCACAGCACACCCTGAAAGAGAGAACTTCCATCTCTATAGGTCACCACGGCCATCTCAGATCCTAGGTACCAGGGCACACGGTAGATTTTCAGGCTCCTGCGCATGGGGTTGCCTCCCCCTAATGCTGAGCATAGAATCTGCTGCCTCATAATGACAAGCTGTCACGGCCTCCCTCCCTGCTCATTTGCAACCATGGCACCGAGAGAGGAATGCACCCCCGCAGCCTTGAACAGCAGATGAGGAGAACACCATTTCCTTGATGGCCCTCTCTGGAAAAAGTCAAAATGCATTTCTTTTCAGGAATGCAGAAAACTCACATCAAAACAAGTTCTGAAAAATGTTTATTATGCCACAAACGCATCGTCCTTTATATACTTTAACTGACGTCCTTTACATATCCAATCATCTTTTTTCTTCACGAGAATGTAGGGCGTCCCTCATCTGACCCTGGTCTACTGTTTAAACTTCCTAGCACAGTTCAAGAAATGTGTCACAGACAAGCGTGCAGGCAGCATGGTGAAACGGAAAGCAAGTTGAATCGTGAATCAGCAGGCTTGAGCCGGAATCCTCGAGCAGGTTGCTCCATTTTTCTGGACTTCTGATTCCTTCTCCGGGACTGCCAAGGTCCTTTGTGGCTTCTTCAACTGTCTGGAGGGTCATGAGGAACGTAGAGCCTCTGGGCTCTCATGGAACTCTATTTTCACTTCCATGAGGCACTTCTGCCCATCTGCTTTTGCTCAGAGTTGGCTGTCCAGGCATCTGTCCCCTCCACGAGGTCAGGAGACTCTTCAGAAAAGGGACCACATATTTATCAGTCACAGAAAAATCTAACAATGGCAGCTATCTCCCCCCTGCTGGAAAAAACATGAACAGATTGATTTCTTTTCAACTTAAGGTTTTCCTCCCATATACTTTTCTTAAACCTATGGTGTCTAGTTTACGATGGTGTCTGATTTAGCACGCTATATTTTTAGTCGTCTCAGTTGACTAATTCAGTACTTCCTGGGGTTCTGCAAAGACCGCAATGATTTGTTTCTCCATCCTCTTAGCAAGCTGGAGCCACACCACTGCGAACTGCAGGCTCTTTCTCTGTAAGTCACTGGAACATCCAAAGCTCGGACACTGTCTTTGAAGCATTTATTTTAATTACACTAAGGTCTTGAAACTTCATTTTCACATACAGGATTTCCAGGCATTTACCAAGTAGACAAAGTACTGGGTTGATATCATTGCACTGATGAAATATTAATATTATTGATAAGGCGGGACAATGTGGCTGACTTTATCAGACTCATACCATTTGCATGAAAAGGCTGAGTTTCTTTGGCTCTTTGTTCATTCAAGTGCACTGAATACCTATTTGGATAGACTTAGGCATTGTGTTAATCTGTCAATAAAATCTTGCACCATCCACAGTGTTTTCAAGCTGATTTAGGTTTTGGACTACAACAACTGGCCATTGGTAGAAATATACCATATATACACATGGAAATTACAAAAATACATTTTATTTATAGCTGATTTTTTTAAGTAACAAAAAACTAACACTATGAAAGATCAACCAGCATACCAAAAGGACACTACCTAATATCATCTGAACAAGAGACTTGTCTGGGGGGATTCCATGACACATCATCTCCGGAACTTTCCAGAAAGGGCAATTTGCCATTGGGAAATAAAAACAGCTTCTTTGAAAAGCCTGTGCTTTGACAGTTTGAATCTCCCATTCTAATCAGTTCCACTCCTATTCTTCTCTCAACTTTTAAATTTCCACTTTCTCTCAGTAAAGACCAAAGAAACTCATGAGGAAAATGGCAAGATGGGCTCAGAAGGCATGGACACAGCTGAAGCTAGATGGGTCATGGGTGAAGGCAGGACAGGACCTCATTCTCCAACAGACACCAAGGAAGCCCCCAACAGAGCTGGTGAGGGAGCTGGAGTGTTCCCTCCCGGGGCCACCTGAAATCGGTGGCTGTTTTGCTCAGGCACTGACAGTCAGCAGCTGGTACCTCCGGGCTGCGAGGCAGCGTCCACCCAGAGCTCTGGAGACCGACTCGCCGCTCAGGAGTGCGATTTGCCACACAGCGGTCCTAAAGTCAGCCAATGTCCTCCTGCATCCATTGACTATGGGGGCGGGGAGGGAGGGAACTGGCAAACTCCATACACTTTTAAAAATGGTATTTACATTTAAACGTAAATCAACAGATTTTCTACATTCAGAAGCTTCTATAAACAGAGGCTGCAGCCTGGGGCGGGGAGCGGGGGGCGGGGGGGGGGCGGGGAGAAAATTTCTGCTCGGAACAGGCGTCAGTTACTCCTTCCTTCCATGTCCCTCAGCAGCGCCTGCCGGAAGTCGCTGTTGAAGAGACAGAGGTTTTCCTGTAAACGCTGATGTTTCTAGTATCTCAAAGAAGAGAGAAGCTTTGTTCTCAGGCCACCTTCATTGCCGGGCAAAGAAAAAACCTCCAACATATGACTGTTTTTCTTCTGTAGGATCCTAAAAGCTCTTAGCACCGATTCCCTTTCAGTTAGATACGACCTTGCAGGGTACTCCAGTTCCAAAACGACAACACCTTTTCAAAAAACCTGTCAACCCAAACCCACCATTCCCCCTCAACCTCCTCTCTTCCTTGGCCTTTGTTTAATGAACGGGAGGGAAAAAAAGAGCCAGGACTATTTATAGGTGTAGTCATAGACAGTACTGATTTTCATCCAATTCATCTGACTTCAAACCTGAACCTGTAAAAGAAAAGGACTCGAGTTTCTTGGCCGGAGTCAGTGCCTCCTTTGCAGACCAAAGGAGGTAATGGTTACAGTCACGGCTGAACGAGAGAGGGTGCGGTCTGGTGCTTAGTCAGATGCCTGCGTCGCCTTTAACACAGAAACAGAGTTAACATGCAGAACTCACCGAAGACAGAGCTATGTTCTCCCCCTTCTGGTGACTTAGTAAAATGTGGCATTGGACAGGGATCTGCAGATCAATTAGTGTCTCTTGCGACTAAGGCTCCATAGGGAAATACACCCACAGTTCAAACATTTAACTTCACAGAATATCAGACATAAGGTCCCACGTGGGGACTTCTTGACGTACAATCAGCTGAAGAAGCCAAGAATTCGGCTGGCCGAGAGTCTCCTCTGTTGCCCAGAAGCCCCACTGTTCACCTGTTCAGAGGGTAAGAAAGACTCCCACGTGGTCTGTGCCTCAAGTCCCAGCAGGTCAGGCTGAGACACCGGAAGACTGTTCCCTCGGAGTCTGTAAGTTCCATGGGGCTGAGGTATTAGACCTGGAACTCAAACATGTCTGTCTGTTTCTTGGCCAGCTTGGCCACCTCCTCCCGGATGGCCTTCACGAGGGCCGCGGTGGAGATGTTGGTCAGGGGCGCGTCAGACGGGTCGTTCTCGGCCAGGCTCTGCTGCGAGGCCGCGGCAGACGGCCCCGGGGCCTGCTCCAGGCTGGGGTGCATACCTGCAGGCTGGCTGTACTGGCGAGGGAGTCTGGAGGGAGAGTTCTGCTGGTAACGCGACCGGGGGTAAGCCTCGATGTACCCTGGGAGGGGGACCTGCAGAGGGTGTTGGAGAGAAGGGAAGGGCCCGGGATTAGGAAGGGGCTCGAGTCATGGGACAAGCTTGATACTGGATGAGGGTGGGGGTGGGGGGTACTGAAGACAAGGGAAGAGGTTCAGAAGAAAATGGAGACCAGGCACCATTGTACACATACAGAACCTGGAGTCTTGTTTGTTTAGAAAGCAGGTCATTTGGACTCACTGGATATGCTGGGTGGATGAACGAAGTAGGGGTTTTGAACTTTGCTACAACCAGAGTCTACAGCTGAATCTACCTGGCTACCTTTTTAACATAAGCACAATCCAGCAAACAGAAGTATTGTTCTTCACAGACCTCGAAGGACTCAGGGACTCATTACCGACAGACAGGTAACTGCTAACACGGAAGGAGCCCTGCGCCAAGGGCTTCCCACACATTATCTCACTTGATTCGCAAAGCAACAACCCAGGAGGCAGATATGGTCATCCTTATTTTACAGAAGAGGACACTGAAGCAAAGAGTGCCACAGTCTTAAGTGACACGGTTAACAGGCCACTGAGACACGCTTGGAGCAAGTCTGTCTGACGCCAAGGGCTGGGAGTTAGTTACTGCACTGTCTCAGATCTGCGATGTGATCTGAGTTCCTTGAAAATTTTTTCTCTTATTACCAAATGTGGAAGACACATACTTAGATGCTTACATATATGGACACTTCTAGTAATAAGGACACGTCAATGATTTGGAATTCAGGATTAACTTTCCCACAGAAACAGTACCACATGTGGGGATGCTGTTCCAGAGCAACCCACAAGAGGCCTTTATATCCCATAATGTTAGCTGGGTCCCTGTGGGATGCGTGCCTGTGGACAACGAAGGCACAGGGTGCTGTGGGGAATGGACACGTGTGGGGAGTCAGGGAGCTTTCAGCCCAGCTTTCAGATGCAGCTTAGCTGGGTCTGGAAGATGAACAGGCTGTTGCCAGGAAGACAAGGTGGGAGGGGTGTTCCAGCAGAGGAAAAACAAAGGCAGAGGCATGGGGGTACGTGGAGGACAGTGTGGCCAGGAATCTCCGAAGAGTTCGGTCTGACCAGAGAGGATGTACAGGGTATGGGAGAAGCTCAGGGAAGACAGGCAGGGCTGATCAGAAAGCCACCAAATGCCAGGCTGCAGAGTTCAGTTTTCTATGGCACACTTCTCAGAAATACGGCATGTTCCCATTCTTTACAGAGACACTTGTCTGGGCCCTGGTGAGGATGGAGTAGGATGGAGTAGGATGGGGTTGGGTGATGAGTCAGAAATTTCGGATGGGCGAATGTACAGCAGGAATGCAGCCTCCCTCCACTCCCCGCCTGAGATGTTCTGACAACCCCTCCCAAGGATGCAGCGTTCTGAGATGCATGCCTGACACCTGGCCTGGGAGCCACCAGCGGGTGTCAGGTGGAGGAGGGGCCTGTATTTTAGAAAGGACACTCTGGAGGTAGACCCACTGGAGGTCGAGAGAGTTCTGAGGCTATGTCAATGGGGTAGGTGAGGGCCGGTGAGGACCCGAGTGAGGGAAGAAATAATAGGATGGATGTTCCAAAGGTTGGGGCTTTAATTTCCCAAGGCCTGGCAAAGAAAGACAAAGTGGCAAATAGGTGTTAATGGTGGGTCTTTCTACACAAGGGCTGTACATATTTCCCTTGCATGTTAGAGGAAAACCAGAGTCGAACTGTCTGTGTCCTTGGTCCATAAGCACTGGGAATGCACAAGTGATTGTGGGGAAACAGAGCCAAGACCCAGGCAGGGGACCAACCCATCAGGTCTCAGCTCAAACGTCCTTTCTTCCAGGACACCCTCCCCTGCCCTACGTTAGCCGAGGGCTCCCTGTAAGATGCTTCCAGTAGTTTCTCTAGAGTCAGTCATCACCCATGACGTCATCACCTGTCTCGGGCCGTCAACTTCGTAAAGGCAGAACGGTGTCTTGCTTGCGTATCACTGTGCACCAGTACCCAGAATTATGCGTGGTACACAGTAGGGAGTCTCTCAGAACTTGGGGTTCTGAGGAACACAGTTTGAAAATCACTGAAGGATGACCAGATGGTGCCATATGTTTGTGAGGGAAGCGGTCATATCCCCTTTCCCTGCATTTCAAGTTCAGCTGGAGCTGAGAGCGTCCAACTCCTGAGACCCCTCAGCTCTGCGGTGTCAAGCGTCCGGGTGCCAGTGGCTGGCACAGGCAAGGGATCCTGGAGGGCACAGTCACTCCTCTAAGAAACTCTTTTCCCCCTAATAGTAGATCCAGGCTGGAGCCATCACATCTTGCTGGCCAAAATTCAGGGCTGGCAAACACCACTCCTTCCCCAGGCAGTGCCCAAGGCAGGCATCACCTAGTGATCACAACACACCGCTCCCAACCCTTCTCCATCCAGCACCAAGGATGAAACCCATTTGTCAAGGGGGTGATTTTGAGGTGATTTTGTCTAAGCTAGCTCCTGATGTCTGGATACCTGGGATCAGGAAGGTCAGACCCCCAAATGATGGTGGGGGTTTTCTCCTTCTCACATGGATGTGGAAGTGAACACCATCCCTGCCCCACTTTCTCAAGCTGACAACGGGTCCCTCTGAGCTTCCTGCACTTTCTTTCACGTATGAGGAATCCCCTGTGCTCCCTGCTGTGGTTCCTGGCTACTGTGCTCCATGCATGAACCCGCCACCCTGCTTAACTGTAGGTGGTAACTGGGCGCCAGGAAAGACCCATTTAGAGTGCGGCAAACATGTTCCTCTTAAAAACAACTAATAGAAAACTAACTCTCCCTCACACTGAGAGGGATGGACCCAGAATGGTCAAATCATCCTGTTAGGAAGGTTGGGTTTTGATTTGCTGGGTTCCTGTTCCTTCATCTTTAAGGTAATATGAACCCAAAGGCATCTGGAAGTGGCCATAAGCCTGGCTAAGCTATCATCTGTGTCTTGAGGGCAAGGGCCAAAGTTTGGGAAAATACTTCCGTTGACTCCTGCAGAGTACCCAGTGGAACTTTCCATGCAGAGGGTGAACCGACAAAGCTGTAGGTTTACTGCCTAATTGTCACAAGTTAAGTATAATCTATTTTCTGAAAAGTACACATTATGTTTAGACTATAAGTGGAATTATGGAGTCAAGAAAGCTCTGAACTGATCAACTCATACCCAGTGATTTCAGCTGTTTAAAATAGCCGAGGACAACAAAGGAAGCAAAAAAAGGCCCACAAACAACCAAAACAGATGCTATAAAGTCTCACATTAAGATCTGTAGACTTAATAGGGAATCCCTACAGCTACTCTTAAAGCTTATTTACTCCAACTTGACAAACAATTCTAAGGAACTCAGACATGCCTCATTTGCAGATAACAGCCCATTAGGAAAAGTATATTAAGGGTGAGTATATCTGTGGAAGTGGGGACACTGACAGCAATAGAAGGTCTGGTTGGGAGCAAGGTCAAAAAAAGAAAAACCATATTGAGCCTTGTAGTAACTCCAAAAATTACAGTAGTTGGGAGATGTGTGATGTAGGGGTAATAATCCTACCATCAGAGCCCATCTTACAAATGTCATTTTACTAGTAAGGCATAATGATGAGCTGAATCATTTGTTAGAGACAAATTAAATTATGTTCCTCTTTTAAAGGAGGGAAGGATATAATTCATTCCAGAATTTTTTTAAGGCAAGATAGCATATATTCTAAGTGCTTTGAAAATTAAAAGGATAAGCTTTGATCATCAGGAAAATTAATATATATAGGATAGCTTTACCCCATTAGTGGTGTTCAAATGTGTCATCACTATGATAAAAACAGACACCAACACCAAGGCTGAGTTGAATCTGTGGAGGTAGAAAGTATGGACCCCAGGGGTTTGGACAGAGAGAAAAGATGACCCAGGCCTTGGGCATCAACATGTTTGCTAAATCTAGGATATATTTCAAATGTTGACATCAAACCCTAAAATGACACACAGCACCAGGGAACCCTCAGGCTGAGCCTGGGAGACAGTCTGCCTTTCTTATCCATGACGGATGGTCTCACAGAGGGATGGGGGCAACCCACACTAGAGGCCATCATTGTGCTATTTTTGTTTGCTTGATTTTTTTTACTTAGCAACCCTTGACAGGTGACTCAGAGGCAGGTTTGGGTGTGACTATCCAGGTTCAATTAGTTGCTGCCTGTCTTCGGTGTAGGATAGGCCAGGCCCACTGTGCCATATATTCCTACTTATGATGGAGGATGGAACCAGGGGATCATGACAAGACAGTCCTTTGCTGGAAGTCAAGTAGAATGCCTTAGGATCTACATGCAAAGTAATTCAATCTTGAATTTCTAAAACTATATTTTCTGGTATTTCATCTACAATAGCTGTGTGGCTTTAGGCAGTCAGGTCACCTGACTAGGCCTTAGTTTCCACATCATGGGAATCATAACACCTACCGGATACGATTGTTGGGAAGATTAAATAAGATAATATAAATAAAACATCTAACATGGTGTCTGGCACATAGAAAACACTAAAAAAATGATAGTTAGAACAAAAATTTATATGATTAAGGTCACCCTGCTAGGAAGAGGTTGAACCTGGACTGGAAGGCAGGTCTCAAGTCCCTCTGTCAAAAGACATCCCACCTGACCACACTGTCTCCTCTAAAATGGCTGAACTTAGCCACCTGGTTGGTGGGAAGCAGGCTGAGATAAAAAAAAACTGTCTCAACCTCTCATCCATTTTCTCCCTCAAGTGTGTCCAGCATGTAAGATTGTGAGGGAATCAGCAAGGGTCTCACCGAATCGGCCCACTGGCTTGGGAGCTCATTCTCTCCTGCATAGGACATCCAGGCCTGGTTCCTGTAGGACGAGGGAGGCGTTGGGATGAAGTAGCCGGTAAAGCCAGGTCTGTTGGCAGCTGGGATGGCAAACACTGCCGGCACCGTATTACCTGGCACGGAGGAGATGCATGGGGAAGATTAGACCAGCACCCCACCTCTTGGGCTGGCATTTGCCTAAGCTGGGGGAAGCTGGGAAATGGGGGAACTCTGGCATGGGGGGAGGGGGTAATGAGGTGCAGAGCAGACCTCCACCTGCAGCCCTAGCCCCGCCCACCTGCACGGTCATCTGCTATGATGCAGACCTGGTTTTCTAGAGAAATGACGGCCCAACTCCCCTCGCCGATCCCCCATCCCCATCCCAACCCCCCTGACCTACTTCAAGAAGGGACACCTCAGTGTCCAGATTTTGTTCTCCCATGGGGAAGAGATATTTTTAAAAAGGCAAGAAAAGGAACCAAAAGGAATGGATTCCACTGATGGAATTTCTGGAGACAGTGAATGTTTTAGTGTTAGCAACCGAGTGTTTGCAGTTTTCACCTAAAAGGTATGCTTTGAACAGACTCAAAATACCAATTAGGGCATGGATAAACCTTGATGTTCATTTCAGCATTGTTTGTAATAGCAAAATACTGGAAACAACCCACATGTCCCTCCTTAGGGGAAAGGATAAACTGGCCTATCATATCTTTGAATATCATACGGCAGTTGAAACAAATGAACTAGATCTACATGTACCTACCCATCTTGAACACAAGGCTGAGTCAAGAAAACAAATGCAGAAGGAAAGGCATACTTTGATATCACTTGTGTACATGTAAAATACCAACAGCATTAATATACACTATTGCATACACATACATATGTAGCAAAAAAGTTAACACCCTCAATTTAAGGATTGGGATTACCTCTGGGAAGAAGGGGAATGATAGAGGGCTGGATAGTTCTACCTGTAATGCTTTAACGGTAAATATAAATTAAAAAGAAACCCTGAAGTCTGGCAAATGTTAACAGCTACCCCGACTGTAACACGTATCTATTTTGTCACATTTCAGATTTTTTAAAGAAATAGAGCAGTAGCTCTTGTAGCCAGGGCTACTGAAGTCAGACGTAACAGCTGCCTCGATTGCTGAGGATGGCAGGTAGCAGGTGGCGAGTGGGAATGTGGGGGGTGCGCAGTGCAAAGAGCACACACAGCACCCGGGTGGGGCTGGGGTGCCGCGCCCGCCTTTCTCAGGCGTTTCTCCTCTTGCCCACCTGAGTAATTTAAAGCCGACTGATCCAACTGCGCCACGGACACGGGGCCTCGGGACACCTGCGCGAAGGAGGCACTGTCGTGCAGCTGGGCGGGATCGGGCCCCGCGGACTCGGCCATCCTGGTCTTGCTGCCCACGTCCGAGGTGGACCTGGGGGGCGCAGAGGGGCTGCGTTAGCCGCTCCCCACGCCCGCCGCGGCCGCACCGCCACCCAGAAGTTCCCGCCGCCTGTCACCTCGGGGGCCGCCTCTGGGAGCCGCGGCGGCCTCCAAGCCCCACGAGGGTGGGGTCCTCGGGCCTGGATTTGCCCCCGAATCACAAAGGAGGCCGGCGCGCCGAGACCTGGAGCGGCCGTCCAGCTGGAGTGGTGGCCCGAGCTGGAGTCATTTTTAGATATTCAAGGTCAGTGTTCCCCCGAGGGTGGCTCTGTGTCTCTGGGGAGTAGCCCACTTAATTTCCACATAAAAATAAGCCAGGCCATTAGCGGGGGGGGGGGGTGTTAGCCGGGGATGGTCGGCCTGGGAGGGGATGACATCATCAGCAGCCAATGAGAAGGCTCCGTCTGGAGTGGCGGCCGCCCCCACCCCCCACCCCACCCCCCGCCCACCCGCCCCAGGCACCGGGGCTGGTGACCCGCGAGGGCCCCGAGGATCACGTTCCCTGCTGTCGCTGCTGCTGCTGGCCCAAGAAGCTCAAGACTCCGGGGAAGCTCAGGCGGCTCCAGGAAGCAGGAGCCTAGCACTTTCTAGGCGCTATGAATGACAGGCACTTGTTTTTGTTTTTTTGGGGGGGGACCCACAGGCAAGCAGAGAATCCAGCCCATTAAACACATCCTATTTCTACTTAGTGCTCAGAAAGCTGGTAAGAAGAGGGCTGCCTGGGCGCCACGGGGGCCAGCCTCCCCCTCTAGCAGAGGGTGCTTTAGCCAGTCTCTGTCCTCCCCCTCACAGAGGGACGTCAGGCTCTCTTAAAATTAAAATGGAAGGAGGCAAAGGCAGCCACAGCAGGTGGCAGGCTGCCAGCCCATATGGCCACCCTCTGAGGAGCGGAGTGTCTGTCACTGTGAAGAACAGAACAGAGCCACAGCAAGAGGCAGACATCTGGGTTCTAGCTTCCTCTCCCTGCTGAGCCTCAGTTTCCCCATCTGAGAAACAAAAGGGGTGGATGACCCCCTCTCCAAGGCTCCTCCCTGCTCTAATCCTTTGAGTCTAAATGGGAAGCAGTGGCCTGCTGATATCTGGCAAGATGGCAGACACTGTGCAAGGGCATGGGAGGGGACGGAGGGTTGAGAGAAGAAAGAAGAAACTGACACTGGCCCTTAGCAAATCAGCCACAAATGACTGCTGTGAAGCTCCTCGCATTAGAACTCTCAGGAGTAATTAAAGCCCCCCACTATTGCTCAGAGAGGGTGAAACACAGAGGCGTGATGATTTGACTCAACTTCAGGGTGGGTGCTGGAGGCTCGGTAGTGTGGGGTCTCCCTTTCTTTCTTGCTCCCTCCCCTCTTTCTCCTGGTTGCTCTCTCCCATATCCGTGGCTTCCCACATACTATTCCAGGCATCTGCTCCTAGTTTAGGAAACCCTTACCAGGAAAATTCTTGAGTTCTGCTCCATACACTCAGCCCCCTTGGATGAATCTCTGCAATCAGTTAGGCCCTTGCCCTCATTTTACAGATAAGGAAATGGGGGCCAGTGAGTTGAGGCAGCTTGCCTAGGGTTACACAGCAGGTTAGGCTGGAACCCTGGTCTGCAGCTTCCCACCCCACCCTGAGCTCGACTGCAGTCAAGAGCAGGTGTCTACACACAGCTTGGTGTTCTAAACCACTGGAAATGAAGGCAGGGTCATTTCTGGGGGAAACTCATTTTTCTTCACCATTTTCACAAAGGTCAGACCTGTGGTCCCCAGGTAGAGTGTGGCTAGCATGTTGGAGCGGGGGAGGCTGGGGTAGGAGGGCCAGGGCACTGGCCTATCCCTATCCCAGGGCACACTTGTTTCTTTAATCCTGGACCTGACGCCTATCCAGCATCTCCCAGTGCTCATGGATTTTGTATTTCTTGCCTACTTTTGTTTGAAACATGGGCTTGTCATATCGTTACAGAACAAAGACAGTATCTTTATCATATCTGACTTATAGCTTTCTATCTGAGTTCATCTCTTTATACATATCTGAGTTCATGTGCTCTCAGCCTCCTGTCTTCAGAGTCAGGAGTTAGGGTGGGTGCCCAGACATGCCACTCCCTAGCTTCTTGGACACTACCCCTAAACGACAAAGGGACTTCTGGGCCCACACACAGGTGCCAGGAGTTGCCCAGACTGGAGGTGGCCGTTATAGTGGACTGAGCTGGAATAATTTTCAGATGTTGAAGGTCAGGGTATGAGGCTTTCGGGGTATGGGTTGGTTGCCCTTGGGTTCTTCAAGTCCTGTAGAACTTTCCATTTCAAATGATAAGAAAGTTGGTCAACCCTCCCTGTGCTCCCACTTCCTTCATGGTCCTCGGGGCACCCCAGACACATGGTTGTCAGAACAGGTGATGCACCCTGAATTCAGGGGCAGCAATGAAGGAAAACCGTCGGGTCAGAGTACACGGGACCAGATCCTTTCCAGACACTGCAAACAAGCCCAGAAAGCAATGTGTTACCGCCTGAGAGAAGTAACAGCCACGGGGCCAGTCCGGGGAGGTACAGGTGGAGGGGGAGAGCCCATGACCATTTCAGGAAGCTGGGAAAACCTGTATGCCTGTGAAAGAGACAAGCAAGAGAGGAGGATGTGTTAAAACGCAGTGTCAGTCAACACACAGGTTCTTCTTACTGAAAAGGAGAGTAGGGGGCGCCTGGGTGGCTCTGTTGGTTAAGCGCCTGACTTTGGCTTGGGTCGTGATCTTGGGGTCCTGGGATCCAGCCCTGTGTCAGGCTCTGTGCTTAGTGGGGTGTCTGTTTGTCCCTCTGCCCTTCGCCCCTTGCCCCCACCTCCCAACCTGTGCTCTCTCTCTTTCAAAAAAATAAATAAAATCTTAAAAAAAAAAAAAAAGGAAAGCAGGTTTCCAGGTCAGATTTTCCTTCCTTCCTCCAACTCTGCCCTTTGCTCTTCCTTCTGTCCTCCAGCCCCCTCTTCTACCTCACCTCTGCCATGCTCCCCTGTGCCTGGGCCACCTTAGTCATGGAGTCCTTCAGCTGATCTAGTGCTTTCCTGCCTCTGGCTTTTGTACATGCTACTGCTTCTCCCTGGGACATTGTCTCCCAGTTCTTCCTGTGGTTCCTCCCTCCATCTCGTTCAGCCAGCCCCCTGTTCCCCTAGAGCCCCAGTTAATCTATCTCCATATTCTGCTTTATTTTTTGCCACAGCAATTGTCACTCTCTGGTATTATATCATTGCTTATTTATTATCTGCCACCAGCTAGAGTATAATGAGGGCAGGGGCTTTATTGTCAGCTCTATCCTCGTGCCTGCAACAGTGAATCATTGATTGCAGTTTACTTTCTCGCTCAAAAGAAAGCACGTTTAATGGGGGGAAAGCAATGGGTTTAGAGTCAGGAAGTAAGGGTGGAGGTCCTAGTTTGATGATAAATAGACTTTATGTCCCTAAGCAAGTTAGGTGGACTCTCTGGGCCTTGTTGTCCTCTTCTAAAATGGGGACAAGGATGCCTTGCACCAAAGGGGGCTAAGAAGATCAGGCAAGTCAGTGTAAGCATTTCACAATCTATAAAGCACTGTTCAAAGATAAAGGATTGGAACTATCACAAAAGTGAAGACTTTGATCAACACGTGAGGGGATAAAAGGAAAACAGTCAGAGATAGACAGGATCAGAGAGCCAGGCCACAGCCTCCTTTAGTGGGAGAAAATCTAGAAATGCTCTCTGGGAAGACAAAGCTTAACTTGTGCTTCTCATTCATCTTTTTCTTTAGGTATCATGCCTGCTAGATCTCTTGAGGAACAAGCTGACAAGACTTTAAGCCTGAAGGCATCAGGACAAAAAGAGCAGCAGTGGGAATCCATAAATAGGGTTCTTTGAACTGAATGAGGTCTTCCGCCCTGCAGCATTATGGCAGACTACATACTGGTAAGGGCCGACCCATGAGCTAACAACTAGATCCTAGATGAAACATACATCTTAATGCACTTCGGGAATTGCAAGATGTAAGGGAAACCTCAAAGACCCTACCCCCCCCCCCACATCTCAGCAAACTAAAACAAAACCATGAGCTGAAACCAAAGATAGAAATAGAAGTATGCAAATATGAAAGGTGGGGTTGCCTGAAGTCAAGCACCATGTTGGCAAACGATTAAGAGATCAAGCCTTGGGACAGGCAAGCGGGGGGCGGCGGGGGGGGGGGGGGGAGACGGCGCGGGCAAGTGGAACTGAGATACAACCAACCTGCAAGGGGCTGGTTGTGCTCCCAGGCTCAGGCAGGAGCCATTGTAAGTCCTCTTTGGAGGCGATCTCCCTAACCCAGGCTCTCAGGAATGGCACAGATTAAGATAAGCAGACAGGAGCTCATAATCAAAGACCAGAAAACATAGGTGAAAACAGGAGAAAAAAACAAACAACAGATTTACATCTTTAAGGACTTAAGAGTTTAAAATTTCTAGGTACGAAACAGAAAACAAAAAGGTAAAAAATGTTTGTAACAAATAAATGACCAGAGATACTCTCAGGAATGATCAGGAAGATTTGAAAAAGAACAAATAGATCTTTTAGAGGTGAAATGTAATTACTGAAAGAAAACACAACATCGGAGATAGACTAACTGGGGCTCTAGGGGAACAGGGGGCTGTTGAGTGTTGAGTGGGCTGTAATTACTGAAAGAAAACACTCAACAGTGTAATTACTGAAAGAAAACACTCAACACTCAAAAAGTAATTGATGTGCCACAGATGAAGAGAAAATTAATAAACTAGAAAATGGAATTAAAGAAATTACCAAGGAGATAAAGAGATAGAAAATATAAAAGAGCAGTAAAAAAATATGGAGGGCAGAGTAAGAGGGTCTAACATGCAGCTAATCAAAGTCCCAAAGTCCCAGAGAAGAAGAGAGGCCATATTTAAAGAAGCAATGACTAAGAATTTTCCAGAATGGATAAAATCAATGAATTACTAAGTTCAGGGAGTACAGTGTATCCCAAGCAGGATAAATAAAACACAAACCTAGATACATTGTACTGAAATGGTAGACTGCTGAAGCAAAGAGAACATCTTAAAAGCAGCCAGAGAGAAAAGGCATATCATCTACAAAGGGATGACATTTAGATTGATGTTGGACTTCTCAACATCACCTAGAAGACCATGGAATGCAAAGTGCTCAAAGAAAATAACTGTCAGCCTAGGAGTGTATCAGCAATGCTAACTTTCCAGAACAAGAATGAAAGAAAACATTTGCCCAGATCTAGAGGTACTGGCTGAATCAATTTGGAAAGCTACAAATTCTGCATTTCCATTTTTTGAGCATCAATCAACAATGTATGCTAAGGTCATATTCAGGGAACCAAACTCTGAAGCTCCACTAGATCCTAAACTTCTTGGGTTTCAGCAACCATGGTACCCCGACCTTATGAAGCAAAATGCTTTGCACCTAATAGTGCTAAATAAGTACTTGTTCGATGAATGTTGAGTGAATCAGAGTCAGGAGACCCAAATTCTCATCTTGATTCAGCCGTTCACTTTCTGTAGGCATGTCATTCAGTCTCTCTGCCCCTCATTTTTTGCTTGTTTGGTTTTCATTTTCCTTGTGAAATAAGGCATTGGACTAGCTCATGGGCTTCCAAGCAAACTTTTCTAGAGCCATGAAATCATTATGACATAATCTGAATACACAACCAGATTAAAGCAGAGCTTCTCTGGTTGAAGTTGGCGGGGGGGGGGGGGGCAGTGCTGGTGAATTTGGCCCTTCACTTACCAGCATGATGACAACCTGGGACCTCCCTGAACTCTAAGATTTTGCAGAGTTTGAAAATCATAATCTTGGATGTCCTTCCAGCTTGTACTCCATTATTATCAATAAACCATCAAGTAAGGACATGCCTTTCCCAAAATAGAGAAAGGGGTTTATAGCCCCTCTTCCCTCTTCTGGCCTCTCTCACGATACTCGGTAGAGGAGAGAGACGACCTATTTTTATCCCTGATCCCTGGAAGCCTTATTCTATGCTCAACACAGTTTTCCAGCCAAGAAAAAGCCTTTTTATGCCTGTGTCTGTCTTGTAGCACTTCACCAAAGAATGGATTAAAAATTCTGAAGTTTTGATAAGTACCAAGGGAATTCCTTACTTTGGAAGATCTTTCCAGATACGAGCAAGACTGAACAGGAGATCAGACAGTTGCCTTTGGGCTGTATCCTCAGGGGCCACAGGGGTTACATAAAAAGGAGAGCCCATGCCCTGTTGCTTGGGGGCTGAGAGAATGACCTCTCCTAGTGTCTTCCTCCCTCCCTCTGTGCAGGTTCCCCAGATTTCTAAGCCCTCACATTCCGGTTTCTCTTGTTATGTATCTGGAACCTTGGCTTCTTGCTGGCTGCGTTGTGACTGGGATTTCACTGGAAGCTATTGCTCAAAACTGTTGCCTGGTTCCAAGTTCCCTGTTCCATGACAGTGGACCCAGCCTGGCACCCAAGGACACCATCTTTTGGGATACCTGCCCTCTGGCTAGGAAGGAGATCAGAGACTCAGAACAGAAGGCAGTTTTTGTAAACAGGCCTGAGGTCTTTGAGGTGGAAGGAGCCTGAATGTGACTAGACTAGGCCACTCTTTGGGCTTAGAAGTTTGGTGGTCAGAGTAGAAGGGAAAAAGGTGACTACATAGTCTGCTCAAAGTTTCAGTCATGATGTCCTTGAGGGGTGATGGGAGCAGCTCAAGGCCATCCTCTCTAGAAATCCTAGTAGAGAGTGAGCCCAGGTGAGACCCACTGTGTGCTGGCCCCTCCTTGTGCATGTGCATCCATCCAGAAGGACGAATGTGGTCAAGATCAACCTCAAGAGGAGCACAATAGGGATGACAGGTCAAAGGGGGCAGCCTGCAGCTGGAGGGACAGGTCAAAGGGTCTCAGGCTTTGCACTGGTGGGGGAAGGAGGACTGACAGGCCACAGTCAGTCAGCCCACCCTCATTGGAGGCTTTTATCCAGTACCAGCAAGCCAGCCCCGGGGCAGAGTGGATGCAGCAATCTCTCCACACCCGCTAGTAATAATACGGCACCAGGCAAAACAGGCGTCCACGTGGGCCTATAAATAGCTTTACATCCCGGTGTAGGAAGCAAAGTCTTCCAGAAGGATAGTTCTTATTTAGTTGAAAACAGAGGACTTGGCAATTGAAGACTAACCCCATGGTGAAAACCCAGGGCTCATCTTCATCTGTCAGTTCACCAGGAGCTGCTGGCAGAGTCACATCTAAGGCTTCCAAGGCCTCGGGACTCATAAAAGGTTCAAGCTAGAAAGAGAGCAGGAGACACTGAGACCACACCCCTTACCTTAAGCAAGGGGGATACTAAAGCCCAGAGAGGTAAACTGACTTGTCTAAAGTCCCATAGCCAGTTTAGGGCGCTGTCTTGCAATCCTGAGCTAAGGGTGGTGTGGTACAGAGGGCATGGGTTTGAAACCAGACAAATCCAGGGCTGAATCCTGGCTTGATCCTTACCAGCTGCTTGACTTTGGGCAACTTGCCTTGTCTGGGCCTACTTTCTCACCAGGTGATGGTGGTTAACAGTATTAGGCCCCCATACCAAAGGCTGTTCGAAAGACTAATTTTATTATTAT